CACAAATACACTCTCCTAAAATGGACTTAAGCGAAGCTATTTTTAATCGCTTTTTTTCGTGCTGCCCACCTTGCACGTGAATAATGAACTTGAGTTTTAAGCTGAAGGTGTACAAGAAGCAAAATATACACAGAAAATACAAAAATAAAACTGAGCAAGCAATTAGTAGTATATGCAAAAAGTTTTGCTGTTCGCTATAGATGTCCAGTGTTGCTTGCATCACAAATGACTTTCGAATTGTTAAGAATAAGAACATAGGTTATTGTAACGCTCTTATAGACCTCTAAGATGCATTGAAAACTTTCTAGCACCTAGTACTGAAAACGTGTAATTAAAGAATTTTTAACTCAAGATAAAAGTGTATCGTGGAACCCATGAGCTTCATAAAATGGCATTTTCATACATTTTTCAGTTTATAAACATACATAAGTAAATTAAGGTGCACCGCTTTTAATACAAAAAAAAATCGATACAGTTTTCCCAACGGATTTATAAAATTTAAAAAATTTACGAAAAATATTCAGATTTACGGGAGCGGAACCAAAAATCTCAATTTTTTGAAAACATTTTCATTCAGACCCTTAAAGCTTAACGCCTATATCATATCAACTGATATTTTTGACCAAATATTTAAAAAAAAACTAGATTTCGGAAGTATTCGAATCGGTCCACTCACTTAAATCTTAATGTTTTTCTGAATAAGGAATAACAAGTTTTATGATTCCGCTGGAAAAACGGTAAGACGCCCTAATGCACATATGTACATACATGCATATGTACATGAAATCATACGTACAAAAGCGATACAAATAAAAATAAACGATTCGAATTTCTTTGAATAAAATGTAATAAATTTGCAAAACGCTGAAAAGTAAAGTATAGCAAATGATGAGATATATGCATCGCAAAGAAAGCAACATTTCTATTTCTTTCCCTAACAATCCGGATCGGATCCGGTAATTAGAGAATAAGCGAAAAGTTTGCTCTCAAAAATGGAACATAATCCAGAAGTACGGGAACACAAAAAACCACATTTCGTGTCCAGAATTTGAGAAACAGGTGATTTGCATTGTTTTTGTTTTTGTCACTTAAATGCAAGCTCTTGGAAATTGAATTTTTGTTTCACAAATTCGGTTTTAAGTATATAAAAATTTAAAAAACATTCACTATTCCTTAAAAGCCCAAATAAATGCAGGCAACATATAAACAAAAAACAGCTGATATGCACTTTGTCACTTTATCAATTTTTACCCGGAGAAAAAGTCCGGGCTGCTTCGGGCAGGAAGAAGAAGACACTCACGATCCAATGCGTTCCAATTTTCGCTCTCTATTACCCATTTTGTTGAGTACGGGAATGATTGACGCGAGATCCCGAGTTGCGTACGGGAAAGAACCTATTATTGAATACAACCATGCATGGAAGAATTTGTGCTGACCGCACGATTTATTTGTGCAAGAGATTATTAATAATCGTAGCCGGCGCGAAATATTGAATCAGTAAGTAAATGAAGTTTTAATATGCCAGTTTTTTGAACTTTGAACGCTTATTTTTCTTATCAATGTTCTTGCAGATGCAATAATAAGCAAAGCTTTTTTATGCCAAATTTTAGGCGTATTCTCCAGTAAGCCAAATATTTACTCCCAATGAATAAAATATGCAAGAAAGTACGAAAACGCAAAACCAGCGAAAAGTTGCTAGTTTTATGATCAGCTGATTAATTTGTTATGTTCCGATGCAATTTTCTTAGAAAGCTAGTATTTTCCGTCTTATTATATATTTAAATAGGTTTATTTTGTCAATTGCAACTCTAAAAGCACCACAAACAATTTTTTTGTTAATGTGAATTACATTAAGCATCATGCCATCAGCTGTTTTTCTTACTAGCAAATAGTTGCTAGTAAAAATTTATCCAGTAAAAATCCAGTAAAACTTGCAATTTCAGCTGTCATTTTTGCCCTCTCAATTTCCCCTCTTTTGCTAGTTTCTTGCAGTTTTTGCATTACTGGATTTATTGGATAGTGCGTACGCGAACAGGGCTGTTGTCGAGAGCTTATGCACACATCAGACTTCAAAGAAGTAAAAAAGCTGGTAAAAAATAGGTTAGTAGCCGGAAAGATCCTCAAAAATACTTAAAATTCACTTAATTACATGTTAATGCGATTTCAAGAAATTACTCAAGCACGAACTTTCACGCTCGTGCTGTAATTTTCGCTGATATTCAAACTGGAAACAATTAAGCAGTCGTATAAAATCATAACAAAGAAGGGAATATGGCAACGGCTAGACTAATTATTATAAGTACACCTAGATATGTAAACATACAAACCTATTCATTTGAATAGGCACATTTTCTTCTTCAAGATTCGAGCTTATTTCTGGATTTGTAGACATCGAAGAAGCTTCGCACATTAATCACATTTTGAAGAACGATCAATTTAGAAGAGAAGTGATGAAAATGAAGAAAATACCTTGATTACTGTGATCTTTAGCCCACTATGTATCAAATTTAACGAAATTTTTTTTATTTTTTATTCAATTGAATAGGCACTGTGGCTTTAACGCAATGTAAGGACCAGATTGAACCAACAAAACTAATATAAATTTTATTTTAACTCTACTATTAAACACTCTTAGTATTGGATAGTAAGGCTAGTAAATAGGGCGAACGTTGAAAAAATTACGACTTTACTTCTTTATCCGCGTTTTTCAAGTTACTGTTGCAGGGTTGTTTATTAAAATTGATACCTTTTTTTGATGTTTTCTGAACTCAAGTGTATAGAGTAATTTCGTAATCCGCCTAGTGGTGTCATTAACACCAACGTTTTCTTCTTCTTAATTTTTTGATCCGCTATTTCGACAATAACAACGGACTTTCTCTCATTTCCGCCTAACTTTTACGTTTTGACTAAAATATTTGCAAAGTTCTAAATATGCTTGGACGGTATTTTTATAGAAAAATAACAAAAAAAGTTTGCTCGAAAAACATTACGAATATTTAAAAAAATCTTAAAGAAAAGAAAATGTGCCTATTCAACTGAAGCGGGGTGTATATATGTATGCATGTATGAATTGTATTTTGAATAATAAATTACAGAATAAATAATAAACACACAAAAGATGATGAAAGTAAAATACGCTGTTGATAAGATTAACAGCTAAGTAGAAATAAATATTTAGTAAGGGAGAAGCAACACGGAATTTGTATTTATGTACATATTAGTTGCGTTCGACAACACAAAAAGTTGTAATTGCTTTTCCTAATTTTTACAAGTTGGCGTTCGATAACGACAAAAAATTGTCCATCACTCAAAAATTCAGAGAGCAAACGTTCATTTTGTGCTGGAAAAATTTTAGCCAGCAAAAATTATCCATCGCGAAAACATATGGTAGCAATTTTTATAAGCAAACAAAATTGAATTTGTCGAGTTTTGGTTTATGTATATGCTTTTTGGCTACATGCTATGTGACTTTATGATTGTGCTAAAAAGTTTTTACTTCCAAAAATGTTCCCGGTCCGTTCACTTTCCTTTCTCCTTCCATGGAGGCAACATGAATTTTAATTTGTTTACAAATAAAACATAAACAAAGTCAGCTTGTTGGTGTCTTACTGTTTTTGCAAGTTATGGCTAATTTTCTGTTCGTTTCCTTTTTTCCTCTTTCTTCTCTTTGGGAGAGAATTTTCGCTTACGCTCTTGATTTAGATTGTTGGCTGGTGTTGGCTAATTTTGTTATCGAACACAACAATTACAATATACATACATATACATATGTACATTAGAGTAGTCCAATTTTTGTATTGAAAAAAAATATCATCCTAGAAAACGGGGCACCCCCGTTTTTTCCTTTTGATATTTGTAATATCGTCGCTACCATGTCAAACTATCGACTGTGCTAAAATTTTTTCATTTACGATACCTTGCGCATGCGTTTAGAATGATGCGTACGTTGGCATATCGTCGAATTTCTAGTCCTCTTGGAAGCAGAGGATACTGGGTTTAAAACGTGTCGAATCCCACACTTTTTATACCCGAGCGCACTTGTGCACAAGGGTATTATAACTTTGTTCACATAACGGTTGTTTGTAACAGGCAAAACGAATCGAGATAGATATAGACAAATGTATACATAAATGATCAGGATGAAAAGAGAAATCGATTAAGCGGTGACTGTCTGTCCGTCCGTCCGTCCGTCCGTCCGTCTGTCCGTCTGTGCACACGATAACTCGAGTAAAAATTGAGATATCTTAACGAAACTTGGTATGTGCACTTCTTTCGGGCGTAGGACGGATGGTATTGAAAATGGGCAAAATCGGACAATAACCACGCCTACCTCCCATATAACGGTAGTTTTCAGAAATACAAAAACTGCGATATTTTAGTAACTACTGAAGATAATTCACTCAAAATTGATATTTATAATAAATTTTAGACGAAAAATAAGAATATTAACATTTTTTTGAAAATGGGCGTAGCCACGCCCACTTATGGTTACATGTGTATATCTTGGTAACCGCTGCATCAATTTATTCCAAACTTTGCACAGTTGTTGGCCTTAATACAGCATACTAAATGGCCGAAAATTTTAAAAATCGGATAATAACCACGCCCCCTTCCCATATAACGGTAATTTCCAGAAATACGAAAACTGCGATAGTTTCGTAACTACTGAATATAATTGACTCAAAATTGATATTTACAGCGTGGCGACGAATAACTGTTACCCAGGTTTTTTGAGAAATAAAAGGGTCCTTTATAGATTTTGCGAAAAAAGTATTTTATTGCTAATTTTCCACAGATTTTACTTTAGTTGTATTAGTTAGATTTTAAATTTTAATCCTTATCTACATTTGCCAGCAGTGTAAACTTTGAGAGAAAAGTTCATTTGGCACGCA